CAGGACCAACCAGCACTGCTGAAGCTCTGTGCTCTGGAGCTCACACCAGCTCCAGGAATGAGCTTCCAGTCCCTCTCTGCAAAGGCCTCTCACAGGGAGTTTGCACCATCATTTGACATTTTTGCAGGGTTGCTGTGGGCAGACTGACTGTGAGGAATTAAGGTGTTAACCTGCTCATTTTAAAGCAATTTCTCTTTTCCTCTGAGGTCTCACAAGTCATCGAGTAGGAGGGTACGGGGCTGTGTCTTTCTGTTGGCAGCAGGATGTGCTGCTTGGTCAGCAGCTCCACTTTATGAATGTGGTGGCAGCTCTAGGAGTTTCTTTTTAGCTCCTCTGCCCAAGGATATAATTGCTTATAGGTTTTGTGCCCCGTGGCAGTGTTTGGTTGGGGTTTCTATTCCTGCAAGCTTTATAGTGGAAAAGGGAAGGGGAAACAAGGCAGGATAATTAAATGTATCATTGAGTCATTGATCTGCACTGTTGAGCAGTCACACACTAAATCACAGCACAGCTCAGGGATCATGTGGAGCAGGGGGGAAGCCAAACAGAAAAGGGGGGATGAGGGAATGTGGGGTTAGAGAAGACCCTTTCCTTGCTGGGGGAAGTTCTCCTCTGGAGCAAAGACCCTGCTGTATAACCCCATTTAAATTATCAAGCTTCATCTTAAAGCTAATCCTGCCTACTGTACTTCCCCACTTATATTATAAAGCTGTGCTCAGTTCTCTGAAGCAGAAGGATTTTTATCTGGCTTTCTGCAGAAATGTCTTTTAACACATTCTCCAGTAGACAGCATAAAAAAATCTCAACTCTCATTCAGCACYTGCTATCAAGCCTTGACCAAACAGTGAGTTCACAAATCACAGAATGGTTTAGGTTGGAAGGCATAGATCATCCCATTCCATCTGTCCTGCCATGGGCAGGGACACCTTCCACTAGGGATGCACCATCCCCCTTTTTTGTGAGCATTAGAAGTCTGCACACAGAGGAAAATACCCAGCATTTCTGGGKGAATGTCCTGCACAACCTGAAGTGCCTGTGCAGAAAAAGCCTGTGAGCATGCAAGGCATGATTCCAAGTATTAAAAATACACCCCATCCACAGACAGTAAGTGTCCAGGCTGACCTCACCCACAGAGCACGTGTGCTGAGTTCAGGCACCTTTGTGGGAGCAGCAGCTCTCACAGCTGCGTGGAAAAAGGGCTAGAAATACATGGAAGACTGACAGCTTCCATCCTCAACAGCTGCTCCCWCCTCCAGTCCTTCACCCCTCCCAAAGAGCAGCAAATTTCCCATTGTTCATAATGGCAACAGATTTAGAAGTCTAGTAAAGGCAAGGGAGGATTTTTATTAGACAAAGCCACTGTGGAARTGCTGTTTGAGGTCCCTGTTCTGGGAGTCTGGACTCAGGCAGCACAGCAGTGTGATTTGCACTGACATTAACATTGCTTTTGGATGTGTTCTGTGCCCCAGAGCACCCTGTGTGCTGCTCAGACAGCTGCCCAAACCTGATTAGCTACAATAGCTTCAGTAGAGGACTATGGAATAATAAATCATAACACAATCATATCCATAAATAGATGGGGGGTAAACAGCTCTGAAAACTACTGGTTTTCCTTCAATATTAAACTTTGAGGATTTCCTAACCAGATGAATTTCAGATTTGTCAAAAATCTAATTGACCAGTTGTGAGGAAAAAACAGGGTAGCCTTACAGTTCTGACTCCCAATCTTTGCAGCCTTCATTGCAATCTTGGGTCTCTGCTCTTGATCTACACCCAGAGATCCTTCCTGGCTGCTGGCTCTGCTCTGTATCTCCAGACCAGTCTCTTTCCAAAAATTCCTGGAGTCATGTGATTGTAGGCTGATGTCAGATTCCCCATTTATGAAAAATAAGGTCATAATAGTTGATAGTACCAACATAGAATAGCTGGAAAATGCAAATTTGAAGGGCTCAGAGAAGCTGAAGATGAACAGTCGGGCTGGATATTGTTTTATATTTCAGTATCAAAGGAAGAGGAGGCAGCTGATGATGAGCTCACTGGTGTTTTGCCAGGCATGCCCAAATGTGCTTCTTGTCTCCAAATGCAGGGTGAAACACAAACTTCTCTGAGGTGTATGGAAAAACACATTTCCCTCTCTGGATGCAGCTGAAATCAGAGCTGAGCCATCTTAGGGTATTTGGACATAATGACAGCATTTCTTAGTGTGGGTAAAATTCAGGGATCTCTCCTGATCYCATTCAAGAGCCTCATTTCTCCCAAGCAGCTGCAATAGGAGCACCTGACATTCMCCAGCTGGTGGCTTTCACAGCCTCTCTGGTGTCTCATGAGCCCTCTCAGCTGCAGGGTCAATTCTGTCCCTTTTCCAGAGGGGAGAAGTGGYGTGGAGAGTTGAGGARCTCAGTGATGCCTGCCAGAGGCACWTGGCCMCCAACMACCCTGATGGGYTACACTTRCTGAAATCAGCAYGACTGTCACCTTTTGACCTGGAATGGGACCATTTCATCCCATTTCAGCCCATTTCAGCCTTGGGCAGGTCTGAGGGGCACACTGGTATTTGCAGGCAGCAGGAGGAAGCGGATGTTGTGAGAAGCATCCCGCTAAGCTGATTTGGTTCCCTGGGATGTGGACCAAGAATCCTTCCAAGCAGGGTATTTTGGCATGTGTCAGGCAGTGCCTTTTCCTCACTGGTTTCCCTAATGTCATTCCCAGCCCTCTGCAGATGTGGTGAAGGAGGTGACCCAGCTCTCCAAGGACACGCTGGAGAAGATCAACAAGGCCCGCATGGAGGGACATTACCATGAGGTGAGTCTCGTGCTTTTGCTCTGTCTGCACACACAGAGCAGTGATTTAGGGATGAAAACCCTATTGCTGCAACTTGAATATCCCCATGTGCTTCCTGCCCTCCTGGTAGATCAAAATGAAGAAGCTGACACTGTTTCTGCCCTCTGTAGAGCACAACCATGTCTTAGACACCCCAGAATAACTTTTTCTGTAATGATGACAGAAGGAAATTCAGGTGACCTCCAGCACCTCCAGCTGACACACGTGTTGAACCAAGGGCCTCCAGGGTGAAAATCATKAATTATAGGGCAGGTGTAACAATGAGGCAGCTTTGCAAGGTAACCTCATAAAAAGAAGGACAGGGGATTTGGGAGTGGGACAGAAGAGAAYAGTCCAGTCTGGTCTCTTGGCACACTGAGCTGTGTTGATCTTCCCTTCAGCTCTGGCTCCTCATGTTTCTCATTTTTTGGGTGCTGAGGATGGGTGTGTGGGGTGGGAGTCCCATCTCCTACCTGGAGACCAGGCCACAAGGGCAAAGGGTGAGAGAGAGCTCAAGTAATTTMTTTTTTTCTCCCTCTTTTTCTCACCCAGGTAATATTTAATTGTCCTCCTCAGATAGCCCTCCAGGCTGAGTGACAACCTCTAGGTTTTAACCATTTTTGGGAAAAGGCTGAAGCCCCCTAGAGCAGAAATTGGGACTCTGAACCATGGCAAGGACAGGCAAGGAAGAGCACAGCTCCACATCTCCAGCCCCAAGGGGTCATTAAGAGTATTCCTTGCACCGAGTGCTTTCAGGGCTGGGTGGATGGCACTGGGGTGCAAAGAGTCTTGTATCTGACAACACCCAACCTCCTGGAGTCTTTCTTCTCCTGAGCAGTAGACATCACTTTTTCCTCACCAGTTTTATGAGTGTAACCCTGGGACAGAAAGCTCRGAGCACCAATCATTTTCCTAGGCTGATGTTTCTCAACAAACCAAAMCACATCCATTCTTCCCCAACCTTCACTGAGGCTAACTCAGACTCTGGGACTGGTTTGGACTGTGCAAAGGTGCTTGGACTTCTTACYCTTCCTCTCCCTGCTTCCTCCACGCTCAGGTTGTGAAGCTGTGCCGTGACTGCCTGAAGAAGCAGGAGCCTGTGCTGGGGGACACCAACATTTACCTGCTGAGGATCCTCAGCATTGCCTCCGAGGTGCTCTCCTACCTCCAGATGTTTGAGGAAGCAGCTGACTATGCCAAGAGGATGGTGGATGGCTACCTGTGCGTCTGTGCCCTACTTTTGGCACCTCTCTGTGCTCATGCAATGTTAAACAGTGTGTTACAGGAATAATTTTCTTAGTCTGCTCCCATTGGGGCAGTGGTGAAATTCAGATATCTGCATTTCAGGACCTGTTTGCATCGCCAGACAGAGAGGGACCCCTTCCTAAATGCACAAGAACTCCCAAACACATTGATTTGCTAAAATGGAACAGGCAAATGGTTTAGGAACATCTTTCACTGGCTTTTTTGTTTTGTCTCAGAAGCATCTCAGGGCTGCCCTGACAGCAAGGTACAGAGCATGGGTGCAGGACAGAGAGGCTGTGACTGCAGGAGTTCACCTGTTCCCTGCACCCTGCAGGAAGGAGAGGTCAAAGGGCAAAGAGAAACCAAGTGAAATGACTGYCACTCAAGATATCCCCTCACTCTTAAATAGTACATGGATTTTTTTCTCGGCTAATTGTTACAGTCCTGTGGTAAAAGCTCAGTGAGAATAAAGAAATTCAAGTTTCGTTCACATAGTTTCAGGGTAAACCTCACATTAAAAATGATGTGCTTTATTATTACTGAGGTTTATGACAGGACTCATGAGTATTTAACAGCAAAAAAAAAGGAAASRAAGRAAAATAATGGAAACTGTAGAGAAGAGAGAAAAGCCCAATTCATTATATCATTTGCTCTCTCACACTCATTACCTGTATTTTTGGTCARTTCTACCCCAAAAGGCCTGTGATATTTTGTTCTTCTGCAGAGGGGTGACAGAGTCACCTCCCTGGCTTGCAGGCCTGACAAGCAACTTCATGTCCCAGCCCTGGCACTGAGCTAATTGACTGACACAGAGGAAATTCCTTCCCCTCTCTGTTCCTCAGTTTTTCAGACCACAGTGAGGACCCCAGTAGTTTCCTCTCTTGCTTCAATTGCCAATTCAAAATGCCAAAAAAAGCCCTTAAGAGGAGGTTTTCTGCAAAGTGCAAGCAGCTTCTAACTCTGCTTCAGCTTTTAAAGTTGGATGTAGAGGAGAGGTTTCATTTTTTCTCACCTGGGGCACTGACAATCCTCAGAGAAAAAGGTGAATTTTCAGTGGGTGAAATGAACATTTCTGGGATATCTGGGACCACCTCTTTCTCTTCCCACTTTGAATGAGAAGATGGTGATTGTTGCATTGTCACTGCACTGTGTCAGGTTAAGTTGGTATCAGCTGAGCTGTAGGGTCAGATCTGGGTTCTTCTTGTGCCAAAATAATGACAGAGATTGGYGTTCTCTTGGCATGAGATGAGAGACTTTGGCTTTCTCCAAGCCAGGTGCTGAACTTTCCCAGGTCACATCCCATCTTTCACAACTCACATCCCTGTAGAGCTCTGTCCTTGACTAATGTGTCCCTGCCCCTTCCCAAGCAGGGCACATTTTGGGGGCACTGCAATAGGCTCTGCACCTGAGTAAACAGCCTGCTCTTTGGCAAACACCTCATGTCAATGATATGCCTTTGGGAACCCAGATTTCTCCTGAATTTAAATGACCCAATGTATTTTCCAGGAAAATATACCATCCCAACAACGCTCAGCTGGGCATGGCYGTGATGCGGGCGGGAGTGACTCACTGGCACGCTGGCCTCATTGAAGCTGGCCACGGCTTGATCTGCAAAGCCTATGCCATTCTCCTGATCACCCATGGACCTTCCCACCCAATTACCAAAGATCTGGAGGTAGGTGTCATCTCCTGCCTTGTCTCTGCTCGATATCTGGGCAAGATTGCAGTCAAGCTGTAGGAACAACCATCCGTAAGAGCTGAGAGATATATCAAGCACTGACTGCTTCTTCTTAGGGCTGTGGTTTTGTCTAGATTATGTTACAGTCTGCTGGGAGGTACATGTCCTTTCCTACTGGAGGTTTTCATCCCTGAAAAATAGCTTTTATCCTGCACCAGAACACGCATCAGAAATGGCAGCTGAGCCCCCAAATCCTCACTGAAACTGCCATGCCCAAAGACTGAGCCTCCCATTTATCCAGCAGCRTGATTTCACTCCTCTCAGAKGGATGACAYTGCAATTTGAGTATATCAGATTACRTATGGTGGATGTGCTCAKTTTACCAACTGATTTTCTTTATTGGTGTCCATTCTTCTTCATTTACCACTCCTCACTCTGTTGAAGCAGCAGTGCATTTTTTCCTCAGATGACTGATTGGTGCATTTCCTAGCTTAGAGTCAAGAGCTGCAGATCCCAGGGAATTGCACCCTGATCAGATATGAGGAACTATTTACAATTGCAGCTGGCAATTTATMATTTTTTGAGCATTTTASTCACTTGATAAAAACTATTGGCTTYACAGCATCGTCCTTTATTACCCCTCAAAATTACAGGATACCAAATGAAATCCTTTATTGATGTCTTAGTCCCCATTACAGCAAAGCTATAACCTTTATTAGTGCAATTTTATATCTTCAGAAAAATTAATAACTCCTACCTAAAGCCACTCTATTGACTGTTTCCCTGTATGTAGCAAAGGGYATTGTCCCAGCATTCCAATTTCTGTGTTTCCCTTCACACTTTAGGAGTAAAACAGTGGATATATGGCACATTTATCTCTGTGCTTCTAAACAAAGGGTTCAGTAAATGCACAAACAGGTCTAAAAACATATCCTACAATCCCTTCTGATCCTCTGCTATAATGCAGCACCAGGAATGACTGTGCTGATGATGAATTCTGGGGTGCAAGAGGTACAACAGTGGGACTGAGCATCCCTCTCCTCCTCCCTGATGGTGATATAACACCCCAAGGGTCAGGCCCAGGGTGTGCACCCATTCCCTGGCTCTGCACAGCATCACCTCTAAGTCCTGCATCAGTTTTGGGAGCAAGAGGCTTCCCAAAGAAGAGCTGGATGCAGGAAAGGCCGCTCCCTTCTTCAGTACACAGGTGGATGGGTTTGAGAAAGGAACAGGAATATCTGTGTCCAGCTTTGGTCCTGCTGGTGGGACACCGAGAGCAAGGTGCCTCAGCCATTGCATGGCCTAGAACATCCCTGGGGACAGTGCCTGTTTTCTGGCAGTTTTATTCACTTGATTCAAGGTTCCCTGCATCCCAGGGTTTATAACTTGCTGTGTCCCTCAGGTCATGCGTGTCCAGACGGAGATGGAGCTGCGCATGTTCCAGCAGAACGAGTTCATGTAYTACAAGATGAGGGAAGCTGCCCTCAAAAACCAGAAGATCCAAGTSATGCCTGAACCCAGCAATGAGAATGCACCAAGCCTCTTCCACAAAAAGGAATAAACCCTGAGCTTGACATCAATTAATGCCTGTGGAGTAACATCACCCGTGGCACTTCCAAACATTGGGAATGTGATGCAGCAATGTGATACATCCTTAAGGATTGTTTCCAGTGGCATGGACCTGCTGGGGGAGCAGCCTGAAAAATCTTCTGAGGGCTTAAAGCAGAAGAGGTCCTGGCAGAAACAACATCCTTTTTTTCTATCACTAAGGCATTAAAAATCAAAGCAAAAAACCCTGTTATAAAATTATTTACATTTGCATTGKAAGCCTGTTACTCTCTACACAAGTTCTGGTTCTGAATTCCTTTGTAAATTTTAATTGATTTTTCCTAAGAGGTTCTACCACTTTCTTTGGATGACATAATTTCTTTCCAGTGGTGTCCATGGGATGGTACAAGTGGGAAGCCAGTTGCAAGAAGTGTCATGTACACCTGTGGGCATTGAATGCAAACTGAACAAGACCCACAGATKATGTTTTCTGTTAAATATTTCTGATGAAAACTTGCTGGAAAATGATTTTGCAGCTGGCACAGGTGCAACATCAAACTGTGGGCCTACATCAAGATAAATTAATTGGGATAAATTATTCTTCTTAGTTACAAATCAGAAAATGTCTGCAGTGATGGGGCCATGCCAGAAGCTAGTTGCTATGGTTTGGTGCAGTGGCTGTGTGGATTATTCTAACTGAAAAAGCATTTTCCAGGGAGGTGGATCCACCTTTGTTCACTTTCAGGGTGAGCTGGGAGCTCTGATACCTTAAAGCACTTCCCTTGTAACTTAGGTGCTTAATCAGTTTTGCACTGATGAWAAAAGAGATGGTCCACAGATCAGCTGCCAGTGGACAACCAACAGAACTAAGGAGAGGTCTAAAGGCTAAAGTTGGATTTCTAGACAAAAAAGGTATTTGCTCTCTGCCCATCTATTAAAAACCCAGCTGCTTTCCTGCAGACTTTCAGTGACATCCAGGAGAGGAAAATGTTTGTTCAAGAATCCCCTGCCTCCTCATCAGAGTAGCAAGAAAACAAAAACAGGGCTTTTCCTTTTTGACATTTCTCAGTGATTTTGCTGATCTCCAGATCTGTGTTCACTGAAGACCAACATCTGCTTTTTAGGCACTGTTGAGCTAAGTCCTTCCATTTGTCTGTGAAGTGTCACAGCTGTCTGCTGCCCTGTGTGACAATCCATATKGGTTCAGTTCTTGACATGAGGATCAATGTTGATCTGTAATACAAAAACCTCTCCTGGGCAGAGAGGAGTCCTGGCAGTGAGAACAAATTTGTCCTTTGGTGACTTGTTGGGGTTGCAGAAGGAGGTGGGGAAGCACTTGTGGTGTTTTCCTAACATCATGGTCAGCTTTGAGCAGTTGTAAGCACATCCTTCCATCTAGGAGTATCACATACACTCATTTTCCAGTGACAATTCCCTATCATCATCTGAGCACCAGGCATGGAAAAGGCAGATAAGAAGGAACTCRTTTTTCTGTGTGCAGCAGAAAACCACATCTCCATTTGGCCTGATGTGAAAGCAAGAGCTCCCTCTGTCTACACTGTGAACAACCAACCCATCTCCTGTCCGGGGGTAAACCTTTATTTCACTCTAGAAGAAGTTTTTAATTCCAGTTGAACCTGATTTATCAGGTGCAGTGTGGGTTGAAACTCATACTGGACATCTGGAGACAATTGTGACCCTCYTGCTGGTGGGAAGGGGTGGGGGGASATGGGATGAGCCTGTAGGGCTGATCCTGCTGTGGAGGTGAGAGGATGAAGACAGCAGCTGGTAGCCCATGCTGGCTGCTTTCCCAAGGCAGCTTTCCAAACAGGATCTCTGGCTTTTCCCTGACTCCACCCAAACCACCCCRTTCTTTGGCCCTGCCAGTCACCCTCTGATCACTTTGGCTGTGTTTGTAAGGAAAGGGGGCAGAACCCTTCTCCTGCCCAGTGCTTCCCARCCAGATCAGCYGTGGGTGCAGGACCCATGGGGCACWCCCAGCAGGATGCTGGCACTGTCCCCAGGAAAGGGCTGGAAGAACACTGCTCAGTGTGGGTCACACAGTGGCTCAGAGCCTGTGCCCTRCCTCACCTCCATTCCCAACACCAGCACACCCTTAGCTCAGCTGCCCAATTTCTACCATTGCTTCCATGAGTTTTRGAGGTTTGTGTCTATTTATAGTAGCAGTGAAGAGGTTGATGAMGATGAAGATGCTTTCAATAAAAATTTTATTCCATTGGACACATTTTACACGGTAAAATGATTGGTGTGTGTAAGGTTTCTAGATTCTCTTGCTGATTCTCTTGCAGCAGAGGTCACCCATGGTCATCACCTGAAAAACAAATGGAAAGTGTTCATTTTTCATGSATYTGTACAACCATAGAATATCTCAAGYTGGAAGGGACCTATGAGGATMATCATGGTGCTTAGCTCCAAAYTGTACTTAGRAAGGAGCTRGTCTTGCAAATCAAAACARGACCAATTCCCAGTCTCTCWCTTATAAACTGAATTTTTAAAGCTTTGTATTTCTTCACAAATACCCCAAAGCAGGTAAGGATAACCTGGCATCCCTCAGCTGGGATCAGTTTGCCTCTATGAGATCTTCTCTATGAGYGCTGAGCCCAGGCACATACCTGTACATCTGGGTGGATGAGAAAATGCCCTCCTTAACTGAAACTCYAACCAGCAATGCCTAAACTGGGTCTTCAAAAGTGCTTTTTGGATCATACTCTAATGAGAAGCTACCTTCAGTGCCTGGCTGCAGAGCCTGTGTGCAAGCACATGTTCTTCTCCAACACCTTCTGAGGTCCCCAGCACCTCCCTGAGGTCCCCAGAACCCCTGTAGCTTCYAGGGCCAGGCCCCTGAAGGCAGCTCTGTTATTTTACACTTACATTGGTGAGGGTGTCTCCGTTGAGCTCCGTGATGGATGTCAGCTCACCTTTGCCGACATTCACTTTTGCAACCAGTTTGTTGTTGCCCTCCATCTGCACAAGAGCCTGGTGAAAAGAAGACAGAGGCATTCATGTTATTGCTGGAGATCACCTCAATCCCTGCATCTTGTTCTTTCCCTACTTTAGTAGGAGGGGACTGCTGAGCCACCTGAGCTGGGTCAGGGCCTGTCATATYATCTCCTGTCCACCACCCACCTCCTGCACACTGCTGCAACAGCCTCCTTTGGGGAGAGGTGAGTGGGAGCAGAGTGACAGCACTGGGCTAGGGGGAGTCTTGGTCAAGGTAGGAAATAATTTCAGGAGCTTTCAGAAACTCAGATATGCCTGGAAAGCTCTCCATGCTACATCTGCTGAGTCTCTGCCCACCAGGAGCTGCTCRTCTAAAAATGCTACAGACAGCACCAGCACCTCCAGGGCAGCTGTCACTGATCAATTAAATTAATCAAATAAATAAGCCAGCAGAGCCCATTTTTGTTTATCTGTCTTGCTCAGCTACAAGATGTGKTCATTTGCCCTTGAGCTGCTGATCTAGAGTAGAAGAGTAGAACTTTTATAATAACTCTCTTCTATAAGTGTATACAACTTTTATAAGAACTGTTTCCCCCTGTTTTATGCCAAAGGAACTTCAGTGATGCTGGAAATTGTGACATAACTGGTGCAGCTCTCATTCACAGCACACTTCTTTGGTGATCATSCCTCCTGTTTTGAAAAGTCCCTGTAATATCATCTTTTCCTGAGGTAGAGGTGAGAGAMAATATTTGCTAGTGGTGCTGCCTTGACATTTATGAACTCTTGGAAACTAACACCGAGGAATGGGAGCTCACCAAATCTCAAGGGTGATAACTCCTCACCTTGCYAAATCATCTCACCCAATGTCAACAGAAGCAGTGAGGGAAGCTAGCAGAGAAGTTAACAGCTAGTGGGACTTAAAAGGAKAGATTTATTGGTTTATGACTCATCTGATTTTCTTGCATTATCTTTGAGTCAACAAAATGAAGTGGAGGTGTTTTATGTTGCAACTTGACACAAAGTCAATCATTTTCCACCTCAAATCTTTCAGAACTTTTCCTGTCAAAAATATTTACCAAAGCATCTCTCTATCCCTTTTGTTCAAATAAGACATTAAAACACTGGCATCCAGTGTTTTCCAAAGAGGCTATCAAAATAGATTCAGAAATGCAAAACTTCTTCTGCAGGKGTGTTTTAATACCTGTAGTATGGTCAGTCCATTTGATTACATATGCAGAGGGAATGGCTGGAAAGGAAATTTAATGTCCCTGAGTCCCCCCAGCCCTGGCAGAGGAGGGGCTGCTCACTCACCTTCACTTTCTGTCCATTCGGGAGTTCCATGTCACCCTCCTCTCCAATGGTGAACTCGTTTTTCATCACTTTGGAGCCAGTGGTCACAGTAACCTTGAACTTTTTCCCATCCTGCTCAATTTCTGAGATGCTCTTGATGTCCTTGCCCTTCTGAGCCAGGTCATCAGAGAGCCCTGCCCAGGAACAAGAGACATTGAATGAGCAGTGGAGCCATCGGTGGGCTGCTGCTGAATGAATGACTGTAGCAGGATTTGGGGACCTAGAGCTGGGAGATTTTCTACTCCAGTGTGGAAAAACCTTTCAATGGCAGTGCTTTCCCAAGAGTCACATGTCCCTGAGTCTGCTGGGGAGGAAAATGAATACCATCCTCCCGAGTTTTGTGTGGGAACTAGACAYGTCCTGTGTCTCACTGACCTGACTGGGAGCACAAACACCACCTCTTTGTCTAAGAATAAATCCTGCTCTCCTTCCTTCACTGACAGGCAAGGAAAAATGGATTAAATCAACAGAGAATAAAGGAACAAAGTGTGGTTTTTTTTATGAGATTCAGGGTTCTTCAGAGCCAGCTTACAAAATCTTCTCCCAAAGCCTGAAGGTGATCTTACAGGTGGAGCCCTTCTGGCACATAACTGTGCAGAAATAGTGCAAGACCCCCTGAATCCCTGCAGGACCACATTCCCTGTCACAGACATGAGTGAAAATCTATCAGATCCAGGAATCATTTAGCATTTAAACAATGCCAGCTGTCTTTCTGATAAACTGTGGGATTTGAGGCTTTGCAGCATTGCAGCACAGTGGCCGAGCAATATCCTACTTGCCCTCAAATTTCACATCCTGGTGAAGCAGATCTGCAGTGTTCCTAAGCCACCAAGGTGCTGCTGGCTTATCATGTGTGTGTAGCACTCAGCCACACTGGGCAGTGGCTGCAGAGCCTGCCAGGACAGACCTCCTGCAAGCCAYAAAACTTCACCCAGCATCCCCTGACCCCCAGCCCAGCCAGAGAGATGTTTTCTCATCTGAGATCACATCTCCACACAAATACATTTAAAATCCCAATAATTACAAGATGACAGACAGAAACAGGAAATCTCAGAGATGTCTCAATCATCAGCACATCAGCACAGCTGGCTCCCAAAAATCAGTGGATCTGCAGAGGCAAAGCAGCACATAGCACATGCAGGCACTTACCAAGGGCTTTCATAAAAACCTCAAAGTTTTCCTGGGACTGGAGCTGGTACTTTCCAGTGAAGCTCATGGTGGAAAGGCTCTCTGTGCTCTCAACACAAGAGAAGGTACCTTGCTGGCAAGCAGAGCTTGGTTTTATACAGTCCTTTTGCCTTAGAAGTTGGCCAGAGATAAGATGATGTAATTGGTTTATGGCCATGTTCAAACATTAACGTAAAACTGGGCAATGGTCAGTGATAAATTGCTCTACCTTTCACAGACCACAATGTACAATGTGGGGGCAGGGAAAACTCCATAAAACCATTTATGGAGGTCATAATGTGGCATCCATAAACAAATGATTAAAAAAAATAATATTGTGCAAAGAGCTTCATTATCAGAGGAACAAGCCAAATCATCTAATGAGCTTGCAAGTCTGGAAGCACGTACCTGGAGGAGGAGAATGTGGGGATTGTGTGGCCTCTGGAGCTGACACTGGGGGTTTCTGCTCCCTGGGGTGTGCATGGTGGGTCTTTACACTGGCAGAATAGTGGCTGCACACCGGCAGGGACTGCCTCACTGGGGTTTGGTATCATCCAGACATAGCAGTAGCACAAACCCATCCTTGTCCCCTAAGAAAAAAAACACCTCCAGTTCCTGGCCTTGCACTGGCCCACCTGAGGACTGCAGTTTAATTCAGGCTCCACCACAAYGGCTCTGTCTCTGAGATGTGTGGATAGATGGGCTTGTGCCATTAGTAATCTACCAAACCCCCATTCTTCTCCTTTCCCCATAGGAGCCACTGTCACTCGTGTACTGAAGGAGCATTCCAGCCCTTGGAGCTGCAGCTCTCTCAAGTGCCACATCAGAAGAAGAGGCAGCAGAAGCCTCCAAGCTGAGCCTGATACCTCCCACCAAAGCAGGACTCGGAGCTGGGCTTCTCTTCTAATCCRTCCCTTTGGCTGTGTCCCAGATTTCTTCACAGCATCTGAACATCCATCTGCTGGTTCTGGACTCCCAGGCCCGKTTTTTACCTCAATGGATTCCTCCTTCTTCCCAAAGACAGCACAGGGATTTTCCCCCTTTTCACTCACATGCCTTCTCCTCTTGACAATTCTTCCATTTTGCATTCTCTTAGCACCTTTGTCCTTTCTTTGAAGCGAAATCATGGATAGGAATGAGAAAGACGTATTTCTTTCCAATTTGGAGATGCTCTCAGAGCCTTCTGCTGCCGTCTGTCCCGCTCCTGCCGGCTCAGCCCCTCTCTCTGTGCTGCAGTACTCAGCCTCAGTTTCTGGTTAATTAGTACAGGCAGTGTCTGCCAGACGAGGCACGAGAGGAAAACCTCAGCCGAGGGGACGGGCAGGGGATGGAGTTGGCTGGGAGGAGGGAAAATCCGTAGGGACATCATCCCTACTCACCGTGGAGGGAGCCAGGCAGGTTCAGAGAGCACTCATRGGGGGTGGGTTGACTCAGCAATTTCTCCAAACAGCTTTTTGGCTTTTTTTCCCTTTTATCCCCTCAGGAATGATGCCAGCTTAGGAATTGCATTTCATTTCTATGCCTGCCTCAGGTGAATACCCTGGTGTCAAATGGGGCTATGCTGACATGTCCCTTTTCAGTGTCCTCTTCATGGGGTCAGTGGTGACTGACCTCKTGTGCTGTGTCCTGGCAGCAGCCAGAGCTGGTAGATTCCTGCTTCCCATCAGTCAATGTTCTCTGGCCATGGGCCACCTGGAATCACATCTGTGCCTCCCACATTTTCATGTCCTGGACTTCTGGCTGCTCCTCCAGGCAATTCAGGCCTCCTCTCTTTGCATGATGGGAGAGAGATTAAGCTTGAAAAAACTTGCAAGTTCCCAGGCCCACAGTGCCCATGGAGATGAAGCTCCTAAGGGCGGGATGTCACTCATCAGAAGTTAAARGAAGAATATAATTGTCCAGGACTCTCTTGGTAACTGGGCAGAAATTTTCCCATTCACAAAAAAGGACAATTCATGAGAGAATTCATCCCATTTGGAACCCAAGTTGTTTTCTGTAGGTATCCTCTCCTGCTTACTGTGAAGAGCTATAACATATCTATACTTTTGATTTGCTGTGGGATAAATGGGGACTATGAACCACTGCTGGAAAATTTGGAAATGTGGSCAATTGATTTTTGATCAATGATCAAAAAATAAAACCTCTTTGTATTCTGTTGGGCTCAATGTTCTTTTATTTTCTTCAGCAAAGAAATGCAGAAGTTCGTTTAAAAAAAAAGGGGAAATGCTTATTGAATGAAATTTGGCCAAGGTAATTGTTATCTAGCCAGGCCTGCTGAGCAAATGGCAGGTGAGATAAACTTAATCACAATAGCAAAGTTCAGAATATTTGCACATCTCCCCAACAGAATATGGGATCTTTGAAAATATGATATCAATTTAACTTTCCAGGGCCAAGAAAATGCACCTGAGGGCAAGTCAATTGATCATTTSATTAAAGTAAATCAATACCCTAAAACCTGAATCTGGTTGTATAAAGAGAAAAGGCATGGATAACTTTCAAAAATTATTCAGGAATCTATATCTTGTGGGAGGGTACATCTGTCTTTAACTTGCTTTGAAAATAAAGCATAGGGTCTTAGAAGCTTGTCAGAAAAAAAGGACTAAAGTATCTTATTTCTGCCTTTTGCACCTGAATATGGACATGCAGAACATCTCAAGCAAGAATATCACCAGTGGATCAGCCATGGTTTTGGCCAAATCTCAAACCCCCCCTGCTCTGATTCCCAAGCTACTCATCCTGAGTCTCCAAAACCCACGTCTTAAAGGAGAGGTGCTTGACCCAAACCTGGCAAGGTGCAATTTGTGGCTGGTTACAACATCTGCCATAATCAAGAACAGTTTGGCTCTGTCACCTCTGTAGCTGCCTGGAGACCAGCTGCATCCTTTTATGACTTCCCCTCAACCTTTCCCTGAGACTCCTGATCTCAGCTCTCACTTCCACTCAGTGCCTGGGAAGTCACCCTTCTACCTGCACCACTTCTTGATAATTTGGATGTTATGTCCAGTTTTTGAGCTTTAGGGCTCCTACAGAAAAAATATATATATCTGCCTTCTGCAGTTCAAACTGAAACTGTTATTTGAGTTCTGAACTACAAAAATTACTTTAGAGCCAAAGCACTGTGTGAGGAGAGGCACTTGGCTGTAGCCCAGGGCAGGGCCCCTGGTGGCCTTGTGGAAGTCTGGGAATGGCTTCATGTCTCACCTATTACCTCACTTGCTTCTCTTATCTATCCCACCAAATGGCAGGTGAGATAAGCGACCCCCCAAACTTCATTATGCCTTTGGTTTCACCTCAGTGCTTTGGGAAGCTGAGGCTGGGCTCTAAACYAGGATTTTCTTGCCCCAAATCTGAAAGGCTACAAGGCAGGACCTTTGGTGATTCAGTCCCGATTTTCTAGTGCAGGTCCAGTTGGACATCCCAAAACCTCTAATATTTTTTTTTTAAAAAGCTTGGTCAAAAGCTCGCCAGTCACAGATCCTCAGGTGGGCTTCCCTCTGTATTGCTGAGCAATCCCTATTTCTGCTGCCCTTGAATTGGGGAACTTGGTCTGCTGCCAGGTTTTCACATTGCTGGAATGATTATTTTGAACCYTGAGGAGCAAAGGTTTCTTCATCAGGCCACATGACTGCATTGCTTTGAAAGGTTGGATGGGATGGGAAGAGATGTTGCTGCTGCTGCCATGAGATCTCCATCCTTCTTGGTTTTCACCAAGGTTTCTTTGTGCTGCATTACTGAGATGAAATACAGCAGCTTTCCCAGATTTTTCTCTWGTTAAAATGGCCTTGGCAATCTGCAGGAGGCTCCTGCCTCCAAGCTGTAACTTCCAAGCTGCAGACATGCAAGCGCCATTTCCTATAGGCTTAGATTAGATATGTCATTATCAGTGCCCTGATAAGTGCCAAAAGCAGCAGCTTGTRCAGGGAGCTGCTGCTTGATAAAGCTTTCCATCGATGCTGATATTCAGAGAAGGGCAGCCCTCAGCTCTTGTCATCTTATTGCAAAGGTACCAAAGGGAGCAAAGGGTTGGTATTGCTTCTTCAAGGTCAAAGCGACTCTATCACTGATAGCCCAGGAGCCTGAGCTCTCTGCTTGCTGACAATCACCTGGGGAGCAGAGCTTGGAGGAGTTGGACTTTGCTGCTGGGATCTTGCTTTAGAGTAAGAATAAATCTGCTGGCTCTGCCACCCACTTCCCACTCTCCAATATCTGTGGCATAGTGCAGTGGCCTCTCTCCGGGCACATGGACCCCTCTGTTGATGCCCTCAGAGGATGTGTATTGTCCTTGCAGCTTGGCCTTCAATGGGATGAGGCTGCCCTCCAGCCCACAGCCCAGCTCGTGGAGTGAGGATAAAGGACTGGGAATGCTGCTCATTGTTTATGGAGCAAGGAAAGAAATGGAACCATTAGCAATGTTCCTGAGTGAGGAAGKTCTGGAAGGGTCTCCCAAAGCAGAGGCTGTGAACATTTAACCAATGCACATGGTGCATCTGACCCCACCATGTCTGCAGGGCAAACATCTCCCTCTGACCCAGGCCCATGAAGAATCCCTGAGACACAGTGGGGATAAAGAAACCCTCCCCTCATCTGACCAAGTGTGAAACACTGGCATGTGGGGATGGAAAGGGCAKCAGCCTCAAAGCACCCAGAGGTGGTCAGATGAACTCCAGTCCTGCAGGGACATCTGGCTGTCACTGTGGGCCAGTGTTTACCTGTCCAGCTGTGCTCCCCTCCATCCTGATTTATCAAGCACAGTGGCTCACTTGGTGCTGCTCACAGTGGCTGCAGCTGCAGTCAAGGAGTTTCTCAGGGCCATACAAGTGTGAGGAGGAGCCTGTTCCTGTCTCTCCCTGAGGCAAATATAGAACCATAATTTATACAGAAAATGAAGGAAAGTCCAAGCAATAAACTCAAAGATCTTCCSTAGCAGATGGTGCTCTGTGGCTGGGGAAAGTAATGAGACAAGTGATGCATCAGCCAGTGGGTCAGTGGTGAGGCAGGACACTGCTGTGAGGAGGGCAGAGAATTGTATGGAGTCTGACAGCACCTGGCTTTACAGCAGGTTCAGGGCCAGGGAGGTGCTCTATGGAGAATAACTGTGGTGCCAGCAAAACATGAGCTGTGGACAAAGCCCAGGATTGCCACTGTCCATGTTCCACTTGGTCCTGTTGTGTCTGCTCTAGTCAAAGTGCCTCCCTGAGCACAAGGCTTCCCATTCTGCACCTTACAGAGCCTTTCCCAAAGTCACCTGGAGAAGCTGATAAAGCATCTTCCTTTTCCAGTCACTAGTGGGTGGTTGTAGAGCCCATATGCTATGGGACTGCAGATTTTCAGATAAAATGTGACTCATTTTATAGGTATAAAAAAAGGTAAACTTCAGMATATTTGTACCAAATTGCACAAACTTCTCCAGGTAACAGCCACTCCAATATCCCGCCAAGAAAGCCAGAACTGCAGAATCCCCTGTGCTCTCTTTCTGCTCTGCCTTTATGAGTAGGTCCTGCACTTTGCCCTGTAAGACCCAAACCACAACACAGATGGCCTTGACATGGTTGTGAAATACCTTGTTCTGGGGAAAGAGTCGTACCCAGCCGTGGGGAAAGGGCCAATGTGCTGGCAGCTCCTTGCCCTGCAAAATCACCAGAGGTGGAGATAGAAAAGTGCGCACTTAGAGATGAGAGGAGGTGGCCCATGTGCAAGTTCTGCCTCATGTCAGCTGAAATACAGCAATTTAGATCAGATTTAGAAAGAAGGGGAAAGATCCATCTTTGTTGTAAAAAAAGACACAGCTTTGTGGACTTTATTTATTGCAATAAATTTCTATCTTTTATCTCCTTGACATGGGGCTCAAATAAATAATTCTGGGTGCATGTTTGCCTGTGCAGCTGCAGGCATTCTGCAAATATTCTTAGCCCCTTCCTGCCACAGATTCTGAGCCTGCTGTGTGGGTCCGTCTTTGAAAAAGGCAGAACTGAAATAGTTTGATTTCTGGCCACAACCTTACAGTTTTTACCTGGAATCTCCCTGTTTTCTCTGTGAATGTTCACACTTCTGTGCATGAGAGGGCAGAGGAAACATAACTTTAAACAACCCCCAATGATAAGCTCATATAATTTTTTCTCAGTCAACATAACACACTTCCCACTGTAATGTACTCTGTACAAGGCAGCAAATGGCATTGCAAAATCCCAAATATCCTGGTCTACTCTCTTTCTGGACTTGCTTGCTGTTGCCTGGGTCACTTATAGGTCTGAAAGCTTTCATTTGTGTTGGTTTTCAGAGCCCAGACAACTTGTAGGCAGAGGCAGGACTGGGAGATATGGGGGGATTTTTGTGCTGCTCGGGGTTATGTGATGCTTTTTTATTAAATTTGTTGCATTCTGGACCTGGTTGAGCGTTGGGGTCATTTCTGTGTGCCCCTGAGTGTCTCCCCGGGGATAGGAGAGATTCTGCTGAAAGGAGRGTGATAAAATCCCAGGATGGGATTCTCTGGGGAGAAGATGGGTTGAACACAAATAATCTCCTTCCCACCCCGATGAGATCTTGCAMCAGCTTTGTATTCAACCCTCCCACCGCAGGACATCGCCCGTGCTTCCTTTTCCTCAGCTCCCAAAACTTTGGAGCGGTGTTTCCCGGCTTTTGTTGGGAGGGCTGGGCGTCCGAAACTCGAAGGGTGGAGGGATTGTGGGAGGGTTGGAAAGGCTGGATGGGATCGGGGAGAGGGATGTACATCTCCTCCTGGATGCTTGGCACAAGGCACTGCCGCCATCTAGTGATTTGGGATTCACCGGTGGATCTGGCAGAGCCGCCGATCCACAGCGTTCCCGGGGATGCTTCGCTGGGAAAATTGCTGGGGACCCCAACCCAAGGCTTTGCTGGTGCCTGGGACACGTAGAGGAGCCCCCTTTGCTGGAGAGGATGGAGAAGCTGCTCAGAAAACACAAAGCTGAGGGTGTTGCTGTGCTTGTTTTTGACTGCTACAACGCTTGGGGCTGAGACATGAAATTTTAGGGGAATTTGTGAAGGAAAAAATTGAATATATGACATTATATATGTCTTTCTGCTTTCTCAGTCCTCAGCACGCTTTGGGATGCCTTTGGAAAGTGAAGAGACTGAGGAAATTCCATCTGGAGGGATGAAAAATATACCATTACAAAAAAATAAAAAATAAAATAAAAAAAACCAAACGGCTGGAAAAGTCTAGATAGCCACCTTAGATGGGGTTTGCAAATACAGATTATTCCTGACACATGAGTCCAGAGACCACGAACTGCTCAGGAATGGACAAGGTCCAAAGTGAAAGTGCAAATCCCAGCAAGAATACAGAGGCCCTGACTAAGACCAGGTTAATTGGAGGCTATTACATTTTCCAGCTCTTGATCTGTTGCTGCAGTGGATGAGTCCTGACAGGCAGCATGGGTATCCTCCTTCCATCATTTTCTKAAAAATTCAAAATAATATTAAAGAAACATAGAATGAATCATGGAAACACAGAATGGTTAGGTTTGGAAGTGACCTTAAAGATGATTTGGTTCCAGCTCTCCTGCTGTGGGCAGTGACACCTTTCACTAGACCAGGTTGCTCAGAGCTCCACCCAAAATTAAATGCCACTCTAAATTTGAGTGCATGGAAACTGTAGGGCTGAGCATAGGATAAGCTCGCCAAGTAAATGGCACTGTCATCCTGGTTTGTGTCCCAGGCTGTGTTCTGGACTCACCTGTGACTGCCACATCAGCAATCCCTGCACCCCAGCATTAACCACTGACCTCATTAGTGAAGGTTATCACTGCTGATAGACCCAGGGCACGGACAGACCTGTGGCAGCAGCCTCTTTGCAAATGCAGAGCAGCAGGTATTTTGGTGTAATCTTTTTTTTTTTCCTTTTTTTTTTTTCTTTTCTTCTTTTTTTTTTTTTGACAGGGTTTCTGCATCCCAAAGGGTGTAACGCTGAAGGAATCATCAATTTCATTGTAAGCTTTTCTCTCGGAAAAAAAAAATTAGATGCATTAATGAAGTAATTTCACACAGCTAAAACACACATTAAAAGAATTAGACATATGGTAATATGTGTAATATGCACCAGAGGCATAAGGCCCTATGGTGCTGGGAACAGGTGAGGTCTCACTGAAGTGTGCTGAGTGACTCTTGCAAATATGTACATTGGGTGATAATAAATTATTGCAGTGGTAATAAAAACTCTCAGCTTGTGCAGTTTTTCCTGTGGATTTGATCCTGTCCTTGTTCTAGTCCAAATTTGAGATGAGCTCAAATTGTGCTCTGCCCCTGCATGGACAAGGAATTCACCTGAATTCACCTAGGAACACCATCATGGGAAAGGGGAGAGGGTAGAACAAAGGAGCCAAATCACATAATCCTGCAGCTTTTACTATTTCCTTTATCTCTAATGTTTCACTGCCTTGTCCAGAGATGCTACTTGCAGTTTTTTGTGTCAGCCTCCCTGGAGCATGATGAGGAGCTAAGGCTCTATTTTGGAGATACCAGCCACTCCCCTCAGCAGCCAGGAAAACCTGAGAGCTTTCAGCGACTCCAAGGATGGCTATCAGGAGGTTTCACCATCAATTTAAACTTGAGGCACCCCTGAAGAACAAAGTCCAATCTTGCTGCCTGTTTTTCTAGCACATTCTGAAAGGACCTGGATCCCCTTCCCCTGGTGGCTACAGGTACAGGGACCATGGTGCCACAGCAGGTTTGGGTGGCTCAGGCTTCATCTTTGCAATGTCGTGAGGAATACTGAGCACAGAGATGGGGGCGAAATGTGGCCTGGTTGGTGAAATAATTTCTATAATTATAGATAAGTAGCTCCCTCCCTAGCTGATTTCCTAGAGGTGTGCTCTGCTCTGGCTCACTGTTTGAATTCAGATATATTATTAAAATCTTCTGTTTGCTTCCTGCTCTGCTACAGCTGCCCTGTTCAACCTTGATTTAACCATCATGAGCATTTTTGTCCAGAGCCTAAAATTTACCTACTGCCTCCACCTGAAGGGCCTGCAGAAAGACTCCTTTGGGATGCTGGGTATAGAAAAGCCTTTTTCCACACCATTTCTCAGGCCAGGGACTGGACCACCCCCTACCAGAGACTTTTCTCATTGCTCCAGTTGGAAMCCTAAGAATAAAGAGAGAGAGGCAATGCATTTAGGGTCAGACTCCAGAACTTTGGCAGGTGATGTGTCCCTTGCTGCAGGCGTGGGCTCTGTGGCTCATGGCAGGTTGTTGTTATCAGCCATCCTTTGTACCTCTGCTCCTGCCTGCCTGGGCTGAAGTCCTGGCTCTGTGCAGCCTCAGGTCGTGCGCTGACYTTGCCCTTCAAAAAACGCTGATTACATAAAAATAAAAAGCATAAAGTGGATGCACACCCCCTTTCCTGGAAAGAACTGGGTTTTTTTGCACAACCCCTCCCATGTCTCCTCTCTCTCCCGTGCCTCAGTTTCCCCGTTGGTGTGACTGGGTTGTTGAGCAACTGAACGCTTTGCTTTGCAGAGCTGAGYTCCAGACTGATTTTGTTCGCAAGGAGCTTCTGGAGCTTCCTGACCCAAACCMTCCTTTAAGCAGGTTCAATCCCAAATTTAAATCCAAACTCACGGTTCCCTCAGTTGGTTCCAGCTGAAGTTTGAATACCCCCAGGGTTATACTGGAGACCACAAGCTCTGCGTGCCCTGTGCTCTATCACCCTTTGTTTAAAAGCTCTCTCCTAATATTTAACCAGATTTGCCCCCAGCTGCAGCTCGCACTTGCCACCTCTTGTCCCTACTCCTGGCACCACCAGCAGGAGCAGCTCGGCTCCGTCTCTCCCACACCGGGCTTGGAGCAGGCMGTGCCCGCCGGCGGCTCCGCGGCACCGGGAACACCGGCGGGCTGCCAGCGGGGACAACTTTTCCGTG